TGTCCCCTCCCAGCTTCTTGTGCACGCCCAGCCTAGTCGCTGGTGGGGTGGTGTGAGAAGCAGAAAAGGCCTGGACTCTGTGTCAGCACTGCTCAGCAGTAATGAAAACATCCCTGTGTTATCAACACTGTTTCCAGCACAAATCCAAAACACAGCCCCGTACTAGCTACTATGAAGAAAATTAACTCTACCCCAGCCAAAACCAGCAGACAACTAATTATAGTTTTAAAAATAAGACAGGAATTTGTCTCAATATGACCTCTCCATAAATCATCATCTTCAAATATTTTTATTTATTTATTTCTGGCACTACTGGCTTTCATCCATCACAGTATAATTTAAAGGAAAACAAATAATAAGAAAACTATATTTTCCCAAATAACTTTATTATTCATCTTGTCACTTTGACTGTTCTTCATAAATACTGCTTGAATTCATTAGCATATTTGAATGTGTTTAATTAAATTAGACACGGCACAGCTATATTGGATTTATCCCATGAAGTCTAATTTAAATCCAATAAGGTGTGTAGAATTTAAATGAGTCGTAAGTAACACGGAACTTTTTTGTATGATTTGTAAGTGATACAGAAGTCTTAGGGTAGGTTATACCAAGGTATTTTAAGTATTTCAAAATTAAAGACAAACCCTTGCATTCAGAATATTTTATTACTGTAAAATTGTCACATGACTTTTTCATGCAAATGTTGCTGTGAATAAATTAACTTATCGCAAGAGGCAAGATTTTAATAGGATCAATCAAAATGCTTGTTAGGCAGACTTGTAAGTTTTTGTTTTTAGTAAGAGAAATAACTGAATTGTCTGCCCAATGTTATTTATATATAAGTTGTTCTTGTCTTACCCTAGAAATTTGTCAGTCAGTAAGGTTTGCTGAAAAATGTCAGAAATTCAAATGTATTATGGTGCTATTGAGATTATTTTGATAAATTTGGAGTGTGATACCATTATATACACCCAGGATTCGGTGAATTTTATAGAGGATGAGTACGTTATTAATCTCATCAATTTCCTGCATATCTGATGTTTAAAATATAAAAAGTTATAAAACAAAACACTGAAACCTGTTGCAGTATTTCTCAGTGTGCAAGAAGAAATCGGAAATTATTTCTAAGGCCCCAGTGTTGATCAGTGAGCAATTTTGCCCTTGAAATTTGTCTTTGGCTTCTTGCTATTTTTTTGAATGTTGATTTAACTTTTTCAGTAGACTTACAGTATGATAAAATGTTTATTGGTATGTGCAAATAGTCTTTTCTATGCAGTGCTTCAAATCAGAAAATGTTTATTAATTGTGGTTGCTGGTTCAGAAAGGGAGAAAAATAAGAATTTGTACAGCAGAAATATTATACCATTTTTTTCTCCTTCCACCAGGACAATTACCAGAGAGTATGCACCTCTTTCTGTTAGGCTTCTCTAGCAGTGTCATCTAATAGGAAAACACTGGTTTTATTCTAAATGGTAAAAGTGAGAACAAATTTATTTTTTTCTCTCTCAGGGTTGCAAGTTTGAATTAGAATCCATCATACCGTGTGCTGTATAAACATGGAAATAGAAAGTAGGGCTGGTCTGAAGACCTTAGCTCTGTGAGAAAGTATGCATTATGAGTATGAAGGAATGAGCAAGTAGTGAAAGAAAAATAACGTGCATTTGTGCAGTCCTGTTACCTACATGTCTTTGCTACTACTGTTAGCAAAGTCCGAAGAACCGCCTGTTGTATTGGGTCTATTCCTTCTGATTGTTGAACTGAGTTAGAAACAAGTAGTCCTTACTTAGTGTCATTATATAGGTAATGGATTTTCTTTCTTCTCTCCAGACTTAATATGGGGAAGTACTAAAAAGAATCACTACTGTATGCTCAATGTCTGGGCTTTGGAGAAATGTGAGGGAACTACTCAAACATCAGTGATTTCTTAGCTTGGATTCAGTAAATGTATTGGTACAGTTGAAAAAGAGGAAAATGTATTTTAAAAAAAAAAGCAAAACACTTTGGGAACAAAAAGTTGTTCTTCGGAAAGATGACATCTCTCTAAGAACAGTAATGGAGTACTAAGTCCTATGTTTAAGCCTCAGACTTAAATACTGTTCAGAACTGAAAACAAAAATTTAAGTTTTTAAGAACTCTAAAATAAATTATGGAATATTCTAGTGCCTTATCATTAGTCCACCTGGTTCCCAGAAGGGATTCAAAGAAGCTGACTATATTAATTATTATGGCTGGCCAGAAAACTCATCATCTTTTCTTGATTTGTTATTGTAAGACACTTTTCAGGGGGTTTTGCTCTTTGGATTCATAAACTAACATTTTTGAGGAAAAAAATGTAGTAGTTATGCTGTTCTCAAATAATTTCATTTATTGAACATTAATATTAATATTTAAACTGAGCTATTTTTTTAATACGGTGGCCAAATCTAACTGTGAATGTGGTGTTATTAACTTCAGAGATGTTAGTGGGGGTAACTTGATACGCTTTTTTATTTAAGAAAGTAACTCTCAAGTATTTTAGACTCTAGAATGCTCCTTGCAACTGAGACGCAAGATACTTCAATGAAAGAAATAATTATTTGTAAGTCAGTTTTGCTTTGTTTCTTCTTTAGAAGCTTAGCGGTAGAAACACATTGTTATGCAACTCAATAAAAATAAAGATTTAAGAGTGATTTTAGTTTGCAATTCAGTAAGTGTGTACGGGACTATTGAAGTGCCTACTTTTTTTGGTTGGTTGTTTTTTTTCTTCCTGAAGAAGAGATGCGCAAACTGTCAATTTTCTTGCACTTCTGCAGGTGCCAGGTTGTGTACCTTTATGCCTGTAAGGAGGATCTTGAAATTTAGTACTGTGTTTGCATGTCAACAGATACTGGTGTTATCTCTGCTTTTCTAAGGTTATAAATAACGTGTCTGTTGCTTTTAGTGAAGAGTAGGAACAGGATCTGGGTCTCTACATGATGTGTCAGTGTTTCATTTTGGCAGGAATTCTCTGGACATCAGAAGGAGCTCATGTAATGGAGCAGATGGAAAAACCAAGCAGGTGTTCACCAAAGAAGGACTGTTTTGGCTGAGGTGGAGCCTCATGAATCTATCTGCTGTGGATTGTTCTAAGTAAAACAAAAGTTGTTTAAAAAAAAAAAAAGACAAAACAGGGTGAGAGATGCTTTTTCAGTGAAATTAAGATAGAATTCCCATCTGGGAATGGGTTGGAAGTGCAGGTGTTTCTAATACAAGCTGTGCAGATTCAGAATGATTTTGTTCACAAGTGTTAGGTGAGACCAGATTCATGGTAGTGTTAATTGTGGATGAGGTAGAGATTTTTTTTTTTAGCTTCATTTCGTGAGGAAATGAGGCTTCTGCTATTGCTTTCAGTCCCTGTTCTCCTATTATAGATTTTGAATATTTTGCTTAGTATTAGTGAAATCATTTATAGTCTCAGTTATTTACACTTCTCCTTTTTTTTAAATCAGGCTCTGAGTAGGGATAGAACTTGACCTGGTGCTTCACCAGAGAAAAGGAAGGTTGGATCCATTCGCTGTAGATTCGATAGAAGCTGTCTCATGTTGAAACTCATTTGGAGATTTAGAAGAGCTACAGCCTATAGCTACCATATAGGACCATGGGAGACGATGGAAGTAAAAGAAGTAGGGAACAAGAACACAACTGTATAGAAGTTAGCACTAACGTGTAAAAATCTTAATTTCAGTGTTTTACATGACCTAGGTGACCTCCATTTGTTTAATGGACATGTAATCAGTTCAGTCCATGAGCTGGAGAGCTGTTCAGATGCCCAAAAGCTGAATTCAGCTTTTAGGGTGAGCTCGAGTATCTTCTTTTAGTCAATACAATTGATGGACACAGTCTCTGCTGACTGTAATGCTCGCATAGCCATGTAGGTTTACATGTCTTAATGTGGAGCCATCTCGCATTCCCAACTTTCGTTGGT